TTTAACCCAATTTTACATAATGACCCTAAAGATTCATGTCAATCCATTTCACTTCCCCCATAATAATTTTTAAAAAGCTCTTTAAAATGAGGGCACTGAACTAAACAATTTTTAAGATGTCTTCCAATTTAATATTTTAGGATGCTAGTTACTATGTTTATTTTGTCAAATTTAAGTTAGGGCTTAAAAATACAACATGTGGAAATAACATACAGATCTGTCTTCTCTAATGTTTACAGGAGACCAGTGTGGTGGCTTCACGTTATATATCTATAGAGTGTCCCCTATAGATACATACATTTTGAATAACAGTAAAGGCAGTGTTTATTAAAATGCATTTCATTTTCAAAATTGGGCTATCAGCTGTTGAACTGTGTATAAATTTTTGGGGGGCCACCCTGTATATAGCACTTTACATGTTACTAGAGACTAGGGAAGTGAGACTTGGAACATGAAGTAACTTGCCCCAGCTCCCCCTGGAAAAAGCAGCAGAGCCACCGAACCCTCTGATTCTGGGGATGGCTCTTTCCACCAAACCAATGCTGGTACTTTGGGAAACTGAACTCCAAGGATGCTCTAAGTCCGCCTGCCCATGACAGAGCTGTTTCCCCTCTGACTTCCTTCCCTCTTGTGCAACATGAACATTCTGTTGGGGAGAACCTCCAGCTCCTGTGATTTCTAAATGCAGTACCTGCTGCACTGACGTGGATGGATGCACACAGAATAGAGGTTGTTATCAAGAGCTAATACAACCCTTTCTAGGAACAGAGGAAGTATTTACAAGCTTCTGGGGATATCACCAAGAAATTCTACCAGAGCAGGAAATTAGGTCACTGGGGAAGAATATGTATTTTTTCCAAGACACAGTTTATTCAGGAGAGGTACTGATAACAACATCCTAAAAGATGATAAACTCTTTTCTCTACAAAGAACTGTAGGTTTTAGCAGATTGTTGGAGCAGATGGAGAAATGACATTCACTACCACAATTTACATTAACACACTACACGACAGATTTGCCTTGATTAAGAAAAAAAGCCCAAACCACTCCAAAGACTCAGAAACAGCTTCTCATCAGTTCATTTCATCTCGCTTTGACTTGACTTTACTTAGTCTATTTTGAAAAGACACATTATAAATTTATACCAAGTACAATGACAGACTGTACTAAAATCCTTTAAAATGTTCCATCTTCAAAAAATTTAATTCATAAAAATGATGATCTCTTGCTGCCAAATGTGTTTATTTCATTATAATGTTTCCTGCTTCCTGAAATAGAATAGTGGATGCATCTGCTCAAGGAAGCAGAGTAACATTTAAACATCTGTCCAGTGTTAGTACACGTTTATACCTGCACCAAAAATTCCTCTTTCCTTAGTCTTGTTGCCTCACTTTCATGGAATTAGAATTCTTTGTTTTAGATTTTTCTTAATCAATTCAACACTAGAATTTTCTACACGTGACACTGATAATGTACTCCTCACCGTGAAAGATTCGATTTAATTCAAGCTATTCTGTTACTGAAAGTATTTTGGATATTGAGAGGACTGTGGGAATAGAAACATGACAGGGTCAAACAGATGGGATCTACTCATAACCAAAGCATGAAATAATGGCTATTCATGTGAGAAAAATTACCTGGCCAGTCTTAACGGTCTGGTTGGACCATAATTAGATGTTCTGTACGGGTCTTTCTTGTAGCACATGCTCAATATATATCAGGTGATTTTGATTTTCTTGTTATTGATTGGGCTTATTTCCTAAAGCTCAGCTAAGTGCAATTTTTCTGGGCTTCAAGGTTAAAGATGGACAAATACTACTGGGTTAAAACTTAACACATACAATGTTCTGGGTCTCAAATGTAGGGGGCGCTATTTCACAGCATAGTTCCAATAGCTATTTCACAGCGGCCTTGTCTTACTTTACACAGCAATGAGCTACTAGAATTTATTAAGTTGAAACATGAAAATCCATTTGTAGTAATTTATTACCATTGAAAAATATGTACAGCAAAACCCCACACACTGTTGTTTTCTACTGTACTGTACACAAGCTCAGTTCTTACTCAATCAGCTGAGACTCAAAAATGAATCATCTTTTTCAAAACAAGGCAAGACTGATGGACTCTGACGCAAACAATGACATGTGGTGAGTCCGAATTAGGCCAGTAAATCAGTCAGTATATTAAAGTCAGTTTCGCATGTGGTTGGGCTTTATGGATCTGTGCAGGACTCCTGGGTACTGTGCAAACCACCCACAGTGCTTATGTGAGGGAGCAATTAATTATCACCAACTATAGGAAGATGTTTTTATGAAACAAAGTATTAATACTTAATAAGATAACAAAGCCCTTGCCTCTTTCAAGGACTTGGGTGGGAATTAGGGTACACTCTGGATGCTCCTTCAGAAGAGAAAGAACACAGTTTTTCTGCCTAGAGTCACAGGAAGACTATCTCTGTTTAAGAAGTCGTATTTTAAATGAATGGAAAAGAAAAATCCCTGCAGTATCAATTAGAGCAGGAACATTACTGTGTATGGCACATGCTAATAAACTACTTTAAGTGCATTTTTTCAGTATAATCAAGACATCAGAGAGTGGAGTAGAATAATCATCTTTTTTAGGGAGGGGAGCCTAGAATATGATCGAGGGAAATTGTTTAGGGAAACATGGACTTGCCCTGTGACAGGAGGACAGCCTGAGAGAAGGCATTATGGATACTGTTTGTCCTGTGACCCCATCCCATAGACAGGGAATCACGGAGGGCTGGAGACAAAGAAACCAGGAACATATAATAGGGAAAGGGCTGTCTCTTCAACAAATGGCGCTGGGGAAACTGGAGAGCCATATGCCAAAGGATGAAACTGACCACTATTTTACTCCATACACAAAAATTCACTCAAAACGGATTAAAGGCCTGAATTTAAGGCCTGAAAGCATAAAAGTCCTAGAAGAAAGCACAGGCGGTGAGCTCCCTGGCATATACATTGGCAGTGAGTTTTTGGATCTGACATCGAAAGCAAAAATCAACAAATGGGGCTACATCAAATTAAAAAGCCTCTGCACAGCAAACAAAACCTTCAACAAAATGAAAAGGCAACCTACAGAATGGAGGAATATATTTGCAAATCATGTATCTGAAAAGTGATTAATATCTAAAATATATGGAAAACATACAACTCAAGAGCAAAAAAAACCCCAAAATCTGATTAAAAAATGGGCACAGGATCTGAATAGATACTTTTCCAAAGAAGACATACACATGGACAGCAGGTGCATGAAAAGATGCTCAACATCATTAATCAGGGTACAGGTGTGGCCTGGGGGAAGCAGGTGTGACCCGGGCATGGTGCTCAAGTAAAAACCCTTTCTTAAATTTACAAGGTTCAGGTCTCTTTTGCATTGACATGGGAGAGTGGGTCTTGAAAGTTCTCATCACAAGAAGGAAAAAGTTGTAACTGTCTGGTGACAGATGTTAACTGGGCTGCTGTGATGAGCCCGCAATATGTATAAATAGTGATCAGTATGCTGTGCACCTGAAACTCATGTAATGTCCTATGTCAGTTATACCTCAATAAAAAAATAAAGGCGCTGGGAATGGGAAAAAAAGAATGAACAGAAAGGTCGCGATTTGGAAGAGGGGAAAAAGTAACCTAATGTTTACAAACACAGGTAACTGAAGTTTTCCAAGGCTTTGGACATGCTCTGAAAGCCCAGTGAGGCACAGTTCCTGAGGGGAGGGTGGGGTGGAGCAGGTGTGACCCGGGGG